CAAACTATATTTTTTTTTTTTTATTCTTTGGTTGTTTTTTAGGCTCTGTCTCAATTTGTTGGATAAAGAAACTTCTATGCAAAGTGCTCATGTTCACCGGGAAAATAATTAGATTAAAAAATCAAAAGCAATCACAACCCATTTATGTGCATGTGTTGTTTTCTCTCTGCTTAATTCTGACAGAAGTTAAACTAGGACTTGTTTTTTTTAGATTTTATATTTGTTGGCGAAAAAAAAAACTCTCAAAAAGCAGTTTCTCATTGAACTATTTTCGGTTAAATTTATATAAACTATTTTTGAGAACGGTTTTGAAACCAATGCTGAATTACTCAGAATCCAAAGCTTTATATCTAAAGCTGTGCTCAGATTTCTGACCAAGCTGATAAGTTTCTCAAATCCAATTTTTTGGACAGTGTAAACATTGTTTTTTTCAAATGGGATTTGTGAATATAGGAAAAGTGACACAGGTCAAAATCTATCACTTGGAAAAAAAACACCTTCCCTAAAAGGGTGAGCGGCATATCCCGTGTTAGCTTACATTAAAGAAATGGAATAAATCATCTATGATCAAATAAAAAATATTTAAAAAATTACTTTCAAAACAACCATTGCTTGGTAAAAGTGCTGTAGAGAATATAACTCAAATTAGAGAAAGAAAATCCAATCAGACTTAAAACTCATTAAACAAAAAAGACAACACCAAGTAAAATAGAAGGACAATAATCACCTTAAGCAACTTATAATGAGAATGAATGAAAAACATTTAAATTGATTTTCCCTTTTCTCTTTTTTTTAACCTTTTACAAATCAGTTTTCATGAGAAGTTCACAGGTGGAACGACCTCAGTCCAGGTTTTCGGAGCGTAAATGTCCTAAAAAGTCTGAGAATAAATGAGTAACTCTGACAGAGAAAGCAGTCATTAACACATTTCAGTTCCCTTATGTTTTGCTTGTGAAATGACTCTGAAATAATTAGAACCCGCGGGGTCACGTTGGTCATAACTCATATTACCACATCACGTTATTCTGACCCTGAACATGATTTTGGACATGTGGAAAATCACGTCCTTTAGTGCTTCCACCTAGGGTTTTCAC